TACTACTACTAGTACTACTATTGCTACTGCTACTGCTACTGCAACTGCTACTGCAACTGATCTGGTCGTTGTCAGAACAAGAATATTCGGAATAGACCTAGCGCTCGTGTTCTAGTTACAACGCAGGGCTCGACTTCTACCTCTACCTGCAAAGCAAGAGATATAAGAGATGACGTGGTTAGGAGCATCTGATGGCAACCTCGATACTAGCCTGCTTGTTAACATCCAACGCATGCAAGGTTCTGGACGCCCACCTTTTTGACTTGCTGAGTCCTTCAAGCAGAAGGGTAACAGACGCTGGCCCGCAAAGATCCTCAGAGTGCTGGAATTGACATATCACCTGTGCGCACCCCCCTCTCAAACACAAATGGAACGAAATAAGCCTGTACACAGATCGTGGCATAGCCGTCTCCGCTGAAGCAAAAGCAACGCACACTCAAACATACTTCAAGATATTCATGGGAGTCCTGGATGACTCCTACTACTTGACTGCCGGCATGCAGGGATGTTCGCAGAGCCAAGCTGCTCAAGCACGAGACGAGAACGTCAATTGACATCTGTTCTTTGCGGAACCGAAGGTTTGGTACTAGTAGCGAATGTGTGGCTGTGTTGGCGCGTATAGCCACTGTGTCGCGCCACACGCCAACACGGAGTTTTGAAGGGCCGATGTGTGTTCTTGGTGGTGGGCCACCAGACGGGTCTATTGTTATGTTCATGTGTACACCTACATACATTCACACATTCATACATACGTACATACATACATACATACATACATACGTACGAATCACACATGTCTGGTTCATGGTTTGCACATATGCAGACACACCGAATAATGTGTGTTTCTATATGTGTATACATGTGCATGGTTGTGCATGTTGCATACACAGGTACATGCAGGATGCGTGTAAATCAGATAGGTCTGTATGTACATGCACATTGCGCTGGGGTGCATATGTGCCTGCATGCGTACATAGCCTAGGTCGAGGAGCTCGTTCAGACCGAGAAGTCGGACACATTCGAGCTCACGCTGGAAGGATCCTCCAAGCAGAGCCTAGGCACAACTCGCGACGTTGATGCGTTACTCGTAGACTGTTTGCTCCGAGGATCACTCTTCGCATGAATGCCATGCCACGGTTGAACCTCCGACAAGAAACTGTGGGATTCGTCTTCGTGGGCCAGGACATCGCATGCAAACTGTGTTGAGATTGGACGCTGGCCGGTCAGATACCTGCTGATCGCGAAGGCAGGTGCAGCAGGTATACGGTATAGCAGAAGAAGGAAGTACGGGAATCCAGCCAGTATAGAAATGTTGGTGTTTATGCATTGAAAGGACATCACAGAGCTCAAGGACATTGGTGAGTGGAAGTCTGCAATGATGGCGATCATCTCGCACGAGCTGAAGTCGCCCCTGCATCCCGCTGCATTAACGGCCTGGCAGCCTGACTCTGTCTGATCGCATGAGGCATGGCATCATGGGCCTGAGTCAAGGGTTCATCGTGGATGAGGATGTGGACATGGGTCAAAAGCGGGCCATGGTCATGGTCAGCAACTGTGCGAAGCGACTCATTGAGACTTGTCTTCTTCTCAGGGCCAGGGCTTGAAGAATCGCTTTAAGCAGCTTTTCTCTGCTGTCGATTGAGGACATTGTGAGCAACATCATGGATGCTGCGGAGATGATAAACCAAAAAAACAGGCCTATGGCCAGAGATCCGGTGATGATCGAAAGTATCATTCGAGAGATGGTGCTGCTATGCCAGCAGGCAGTAGACAAACGAGGTTTGCCGGAGTGGAAGCCCTCTGTGAAGATCATCAATACGATTACCGAGCCTCTTCCCATCATTGAAGGGGACGCACATCGATGCGCTCAGCTGATGCATAACCTGATTTCCAATGCACTAAAGTTCACCCACAAAGGGTCCGTGACCATCTCAGCTAGTCCCGATGACGTGGAGAAGATGGTGACCGTGGACGTGAAAGACACTGGCATTGGCATCTCTGCAAACAACTTAGACCGCATCTTTGAGCCCTTCGATCAGGAAGACCGCTGCCTGCCTCAACTTGATGTCAGTCTTGGGGATCCCACACAGTAACCTGTGTGAGTATGACGAGCCAGGAAAACTGTCTTGCCTGCTGCAGAGTATGGCGTTTCAGGTTTGTGCCCGGAAGGCGGCGCGGGGATGGAGGCGGTATAGGGGATTCGGACAATGCAAGGAAGTGGAGCGCTGGAAACGTCTGAAGCCTTCGCGATGCCGGGTTCTAGAGATGGCTTTGACTCGGATTACACACAGGTCCCATTGGTGGACTGGTAGGAGATGCAGAGTTACCAGACGCCAGACTTTTGCAAGCACTTTGCACGCCGGTTGAGGGAAGAGCAACCAAGCCAGCAGCCGCATAGGACAAGAAGTAGTTCTCCGCAGGACAGCACCATCATGTTGATTCTAGGATATTCTGGGACACTGTGCTTGTGTCTTGATGAGGGATTTTGCTTTGATATTGTTAGGTTTCGTGCGTCTTCCAGATGTTGTGGCTTTCGGCCGCGAGAGAAACTCAAGCGGTTGACACTCCGATCGCACGTAGGGTTTAGGCTATGCTCGCGCCGTCGCACCGAACAGTTCTTCTTGCCTCTCTATCTCTGTGTCTATCAGTTATACTTACCTGAGTCATTATTGCGAGGCTGATTGAGCCAATCAAAAGGATTTTCCATCCAAGCTTCGTCAACTAAGGTTCAGAGCAGCGCCGTTACGAAGGCGTGGTGTTGGTGCTTTGGGAAGTCCGAAGCAGTCCAAGACGGAAGTCTCAAGCAGCCCAAGACGCATCCACCGAAATTTTTGTCCTTGATGCGAGACTTTCATGTGGGTCGGGAGCCGGCTGCATGTGAAGACTGCATGCACTGGAACAGCCTTTGCCGAAACCATTGCGGGAGGCATGGGAATGGGTCTGGCGCTCTGCCGGGAGATCGCGTTGAAGCATGGGGGTTCGCTGACGGCGGCATGCTGAATTTATACCAGATGCTTTTGAAATCATTCCACGGTTCGCAGGTATGCTATCCAAAGACGGCTTAAATCTAATCTAAACCAGTTGACGGATGAGGTCTAGGATGGTTCATTCAGGAGAACAATTTCTGCGTTCCTGGTAGGTGCTTCGAGTTGGCACATCGAGTTTTCGGTTGTACAGGTCATTCCCATTGGATTCTGGTCTTTGATTGTGCCTTGACCCAGTGTCTCAGGTGAAGAGCAAAAAGGGCAAAGGGTCGACTTTTCGCGTGAAGCTGCCATACTGGACGCGGGCTTCCATCGCCAAAGACCTCAGCATCGCAGAGCCGCAGGGCCATGAGGTTCCGCCTGGGATGGCGTTTGCAAGTTCGGCATATTGTGAGTGGCATGTCGTGCATTGTATTTTTTCCAATCTCTCGGCTTTTCCTCTCCGTCTCTCAACCTTTTCTCTCTCTGTGTCTCAGTCTCTCTCTCTCTCTCTCTCTCTCTCTCTCTCTCTCTCTCTCGTTCGTGCCCTTATGGCTGTCTCGCATGGTCTCTCCGCCTCTCCGTCCGTTTCTCCGCCCGTGGTGTCTTACAGCCTTGCTGGCAGAACATATCCCGGATGTCGGAATTGGGCAGCTGCTTGGCGGCATAGCATGGAGTCATTTTTGCCACCATGACGTTTGGGCAATCTTTACGAGTGCGTCTGGAGGACAATTCAGGAACGAGCCTTTCGCGAAATGTAATCCCAGGAAATGTTTGGAATGGTTTCTGGCGGAGCTAATGCAGTCTCAGAATGCTGCCGAGTTATTAAGACTTGCAGGTTAGGAGCAGAATAGAAGGTAGAAGAGGCAAGTCTGCCGTCGGGACTGGCAACTCTGCTCACCTGGCGGTCATGGTGGCAAAGTAGCTTGACTTCGTTCTCGCCTCGCAGGCCAAGTTCTAGTTCACGAATATCGCATACGAAGGGAAGGTCAGGAGTGGATGCGTACACTAGTAGCAAGAGTCACAACGGCGAGCGAGACCGGATTCAGATGCCAAAAGAGTTCGATTCCAGCATGGACGATGTCGAAGGCTGCAGCCTAGGGATCCCAGAAGAATTACTGGCAAGACATTGCTACCTGTAGAGTCGTATTCCACACCTCTCGGATTAGGAGAACTCGGAGGGCTGCCGGCGGTCATAGATCACACAGTCATATTGTCAGCGACGTTTTTGCTATTGCGCTTGAATGTCGTGGTTGGCGTCATGCTCTTTCAATAGTTTCTGCACACGCCTGCGGGTGAAGAAGGAAGGTTTTTCCTGTCGTGCGGATTGACGGGTGTCCGAGTGTCGATCGGGCTCATTTTCCTTTTCTCGCGTAACGCCAAAGCCGCCTCATTTTCTCGCGTAACGCCAAAATAACCGCCTCGGAGGAGCGAAGCCGCGCCCCGGCTCCCCGGCTCCCCGGCTCCCCCCCGCCCCGGCAAAAAATCACGCCACTGGGAGGGGGTAGGGGGTGGGTTACTGCTCTGCTACAACCACCCAAACTCCCCAAACCCCCGGATCTAAACGCCTGGGCCTCTGGCTGTTTGCAGTTGTTGTCACAGCTTGAGGCGATGACATGGTCAGGGCACCGGGCCAAGAACAGCAGCCTGACTGACTCTAACTAAGAGTCTCCAGCGAAGACGAGTTGCCGCAGACAGTGCTTGAAGGTCTTTCAAGCCGTTTTCGGATGGGCGGGCTGCTGCTGGCAGAAGGGCGACTCCAGGTCGTGACGGGATCATGAATGTTCTGCAAGCAAGTGGGATTCAGCCTGGTAGCACTTGAGCTTGTCAAGTGGAATTGTCCATCCAGCGATCGGTGAGGACAAGCGCTCATGAACTCAGGCCGGCTCGTCTGAATTGCTCGGCATCTCACGTGATGCGGTGATGCCTTCCTGAAAACACTGCTCGGACTGTCATCAACTTCCTCCACTGCAAGGCACTTCGGAAACATCGCAGAGGAAATTTCCGCCTTCCAAAGCAGCTACATCGAATGTCATACTCACTGCTCCGCCCCCAGCGAAGGGTAACTTGATGGTGGTAGAGCTGGTGACAGACATGGTTTGTCACAGACCGTTCGGAGGTGGATGACGATATGGTGAACCAGCAAGTCATGCACTCCCTCCTTCGGTCCAGCGAGTACACTATGAAGGCCGGGTCAACCTGGGGTTACCTACAATGTCACTCAGTCACTCAGTGACCATGTAGTCTCGCTCAGGTCGCTGTCCATGGTGGAGAGGCCCTGAGCTACCTGAGCGACAACCCACTTCCAGCTCTTGTCCTCATTGAGGTGATGATGCCAGGACGTTAGGCTGCGATTTGTAGCCACCATGCCGTTTGGTGAGTTTTGGGCTTCGTGCTACTCTCAAGGCTCTGACGGTATGTTCAGTGTTTGATGAGGATTGTCGGGACCAGATGTGCTGCGGACATTGCGACAGAAGTACCCGGTGGAAGTCTTGCCCGTCATCGTGGTTGCTTGTACGATCCATGAGACTGTCTTGTCTCCCAGAAGATTTGTTCCCGAGCCAGATGTGCATGCAGATATCTGTGTAGTTTCATCTTGTGCTGAAGCTCAGATGCGTAGCTTACCGAGGGAGCAGTCATGAACAGTATCCAGCGATCATGCACAATGTCGCGCAATTCATGATCTGGGCACTTGGCGAGCACAGGACCGAGGCGCACATAGAAACACAGCGAATAAGCCGTGCCAGCTTGGCAAGGTGACAGGCATGCTGCCGGGAGCAGCGCTTCTCCGGAGTAAAAACATGCCCAAACGCGAAAGACGCCCCGACCCCGAATGCACGTGTATTGTCTAATCGTTTCCGCGTCCAGCGATCCTCAACAGCACGCTTCACATCAACGATTTCAGGATGGCTCGATGTAACAGCAGGTTGAGTGTCCGAAATGAAACAAGAGCCAAATTGAAGAGACTCAACTGATATCACCACCAAACCCTTTGCTGCGATATTAGTCACTGACGTTGAATGTTCCAGCAACCTGCAACAAGTGCTCGTGGAAAACAAGTCACAGGGCATGTTGCATGCAGTATGCCCAGTGTGACGCAGCAACATGTCATTCCTCATCAGTCGATGCAGTCGGTTTTCAAGGTCTTCGTGCAGCAGGTGGCTTTCGTGAAACTGGGACTTGGAAAAGAGGACATTGCTTCCGAAAAACATTGCAATCACTCCATCCTCCCTTTCAGGCCTCTGCATTCGTTTGCTATTTCATGTGGTTCAATACACAGTATATGCCACAAACAGAATCCAGCATCGCTGAGGAATAGACAGGTTGAGGTTCGTTCATTGCGGCTAAAAGCGAACAACCCTCGAGCCCATCGCTCAAAGACCTATCACTTGTCGGAGTTCGCAGCGAGTTGACACTGGATCATTGATCATTCTTGCTGCAAGCCTTTTCGCCAACTCGAGGAGCCAACGAGAGTTGCCTGGGTTGCTTAGTAGCCACGAAGTCGCAGAACTTCTTTCGGAAAGAAATGCTGTTTGTGTCGTGCAGTGCAGTGCAGTGCAAGTCAAGCAGCGAGCAGAGGAGCCCAACAGCATCGGGCTACAGTTCTGAACTTGAAACAAAGTTTCCGAGAACCGGACTCACCCAAAGTAGCAAAGCAGTGGCTAGGCTGCTACTAGCAACCTTTAAGCCACGGGAAGTCCTTACCAGTTCAGCATAGAACAGGAAATCACTTTCTTGAGCGTCGTATGAGTCGATCAGCATGGTTTCTATGTGGGTGCTTCACCGTCTCAACAGATTTCCTCTCGGCGATGAACTCTGTCATCGAAATGGCAAGGGTACCGTGGAGCCCTCACATTACCAAGGTCAAGCAAGATTAATCGGATTGAGTCCCTCGTTGACAGCCCGCCGTACCCGCTTTTGCTTTTCTCTCTCTTGTCAGTGGTCGGAGCTCGACACGGGTGGGTGCAGAGTGAGTCCCGACACCGGCTTGCACCGAACATCCGCCGTGCTGAGTAAGGAGAGCAGTGCTCGTTGTGTTTGTTTAAAGGGCAAAGAGTAGACGATGACTGTGGAAAAGCTTCGGGAGCCATGTGAGCCTGTCATAGCCTGTCAGCTTGGGCTTGAGTCTGCTATCCAAGATGTCAGCCAGCAGCGACAAGGACATGATCACCAAGTGCTTGACGCCTGGACCAGGTTGAGAGCGATCGTTTCATGTGAAGCAAGGCTTAGATTTAGGACTTCTTAAGAATATTTGCAGGAGATACAAAAACCCGCTACCTCATGTGACTCTGAGCGTTAGAGGGAATCAATATCTAAGTACATTGCCATCTGTTTGGCACTGCATTTCTCTAGCAGGCAGTGCTATCTTTACATAAGGGCTGCGCCGCCTGGTGCGGACAGCGCAATTTCAGGAATTGTTACTGCCATCTAGGCCGCCTCAAAGGCATGCAACATGAGCAGCAGAGGGGGCCACGCGCTAGTCCACATGATGTGCGCCCCCGCGGCGCGCATCATGAGCCTACCGTCGCGGGCGGAAGCAGCTTCATCGGACTTGGGTCTGCTACACCGCGCCGTCCGAAGACATGCCCGGAACGCGGCACGGAATATGTACGCGCTTGGCGGCCATCCCCCCGGCTAATTTCGAGTTTGTGTCAGTGCCGGCGACGCCGCAGGGGCGGCATCAATCAGCGGGACCTGAAACGCGGCGGAGGAGGTGGCGGAATCAGCGGGCCGCTTTACAAAGGCTTCGCCTAAAAACGAAGCGCGTGCTTCAATTGCTAAGCTAGGCGGTGAGAAGCGGAGGCGTTTGCTAATTACTAACCGCTGCTCAGGTGTTCATGCCTGAAATTCTCACAAGCGGAGCAAAGTCTTTGGCAGTTCAAGTCAAGGCTTCGCCTTTGGAGCTTCACCAAGCTCTTGCGGCCAAAGGGCCTGTAGCACTGCCCGATTTAAGGGCTGCGCCAGGTGCAGGCAGCGCAGGCAGTCCTCGCCGAGAGTTGGAACATCATAGGGGAAGTTTGACTCCAGGTGTAGAAGGCAGGCCATGACGACCGCAAGCTCGAAGGGTGTGAAGGTGGAACACCCCTTCCCCCGCCCCACCCCCAAACCGCTGCCGGCAGAGACGCAAAATTCTAGAAAGTGTTGTTAACATCATCTTCCTAGCCTTGAACGCTGCCGCCCCCCCGGCACAGACACCCCCGACGATGCACATGATGCGTGTTTGCGGGGGGCCAAGTCAATACCCCAAGGCTCTAAAAGCAGCGTCTTGAACGACGAAAACCGTCGAAGCAAAGCATGCTGGGAACACTGGAGCTTCGCTAAACTCTCGCGGTCACGAGGGCCGCACTCTCAGAAATCGCCCTAAAGACAGCTTCCACAAATACGGTATTTATGGTTCAGGCATGTGCGGTTTATGGTTTGTGGATTCGGCCAGACCAAATGAATCCAGATGGAATTTGGGTCCTTGAGGACCATGGCGTATGAGCGCAGTTCCACCTGCACAGCAAAAAACCAACCTTTGCATCTACATTCTGCTAAAGGTTAGGGTTTGAGAATTACTATTCTGTAGGGTTTGGGATTTAGGGTGAAGCCTAAGCCCCAAGAATCTCTCAGGAGGTTTCATGAAGGTTGATGAGGCATGCGAGCAACCAAGGAAGCTGGGTGCCAACGATTTCGTGAAGAAGCCGTGCTTCAGCTGCAAGTACATCTGCGATGTAGTCCTCATGATTTGTACAGTGCGCACAAGCATGTTTTCTGAAAATGAGGTTCCATCCCTCAGAGTTGCTCGCCAGAATGCAGCTGCAATGCACCTGATCTTGGATAAATGTGAGAAGAGCACAGCCGTTCCGAGCTTTTGCCAGCGAATCATTTGGTTGTGAGGCAACCTTGCACGAGCTCACCGACGTCTCAGCAATGACAGCCCGCCGGTGCCAGACACTACACCAGAGGTGGACCTCAGCTGGGATTCCATTTTGCCTCGCCGCGATCCCAACCCAAGCACCAAACCCTCAATTCCATCGCAAGCTCAACACTTGGGGGTTAATCCAAGACGGCTCAAAAACGCTGAGGGATAAATTGCCTTCCTGTGGTAGTTTGGGCGTGAAATCCTTGTCCCAGTTACGCAGACACCCGGCACCAAATGAGGCTATGTAGCAGTGGCAGTTCACGAAGCCAACATGTAAATATTCGGTGTTTTTGTCTGCTCAAGAGCTTGGCGATTCAGGTCTTTGACGCTTTCATGGTGAGCATTTACAGCATGCCTTGTGTTTCCGAATCTTCCAGAAACCTCACCCACATGCCCTGTGCATCCTGTAATCACAGCTCGTGCGAGTGTCGCATGAGTTCCAAACTCTCCTCCAATTGTCACCGCTTTCTCTTCTCGAGAACAGGTTCGACTCCCCAAGCGTCGGCAGTCCTGGGACCTCTTGCATGTGCCTTCTCCGTAGAGATAGTGGCGAGACATAGTCTCTTGAACGCCGTTCGTCGTGTTGACTGTTTATCGGAACGAAATGGAAGCAATCTGAGCCATGCCCGCCAAAAGCCGGCCGAGTTTCAGAACGGTGCATGTGGCGAGCGGGAAGAAACTGTCCTGTAATAAGAGGACGACTACGACGTGAAAGCTGTGGGCTGCGTGGATGCAAGACTTCTGGAGGTCAGCTACCGACTTCTAGTCTTAGCCATGTGTTATCTTTTCCTGGCCTGGTAGTGTCAGCTGCGAGTTCTGCCAGGGTATGATTCCGGTGGGGCTACTGGAGACGTTGACATCTGCTTCTGGGAGAAATCCAGAGGTGAGTCCAGAGGCACGTAATTTACCGACTCCTTGGCACCCCCGGCATAGAAAGTCTCGAAGATAGAATTTGCACTGGCATCTGCGCAGGCAGCCCGACAGCAAGTCGAGGAGTTCCTGAGCGACTTGCCAGAAAGCCAGGTGACACCTTCTGAAGGCCTAGGTCTCTCTTCCAAAATTCGAGCGCCTTTCAGACGCTTCACATGGTGGGATCACATCGCCATTCGATGATGAGCGTCAGGCAGGCTTTTCAAAGGCATTCGGCGCTTCAGCTTTGCTGTCGCAAGAAAATTCGCGATTAACTCAGATGCTTTCTGCTCACAAGCAAGCAGATGTGGCAAAACGTGAGCTGTGCAAACCAAAACCAGCACATCCCGTCCATGACTCGTCGGCTCATAGTCTTTTAGGTTCTCGGCGCTCGAGACTTCACGTGTTTTGAGACTTGCAGCACAATTCTGCCTAATCATGTCATTTGCCTAGCCATGACGGCCGAGGCAACTCCGAGAAGATTCAGCAAATGACCAACACCATTGAAGAGCTGCAGTCGCCCTGTGGTTGCAATATCGGATCGCCCCGTTTTGAGCTGTTTTGTGCGCTGGTCAGCCAAGTGTGACCCAAGGAGTCTGGCTGAGGAGAGGGCAAAGCACGGTGTGACGGAATCTCAGGAAGCGTGCAACCGTGGCGAGATGCAGTTCTCAAGCACCTCTGCGTCTCTGCCTTGCATCGAGGCTCTCTGAGAGCCAGCTGCTGCTAACGAAGAGCCATGCTGTTCGCCAGCAACGCCTTCAAGAGGAGGCACTTTTCAGAGTCCTCTGTCCGTTGTTGCCGTTCGTCCCGTGTTCATGGTTGTGCAGGGTCTGGGACCTGTGCTTTGAATCGTGGGCCCCTTGCAATTCAGCGGTGTCGCAGGTCAAGAACAGGGAGCAGCGCTTGCTTAGCTTTGGGCGTTGGCCGCTTGGACAGGGACGGTCTCCGACATGCCCGGCATCTGTGACGCATTCGTGCATCATGAATCATCACATGACAGGCGACATGCCCAGAAAGCTCTGCCGCCAAGTCACCACGGGGGTGCCAGCATAGCGAAGAACATCAACCGTCTGGATGTGCCTCGACACGGATGGCAGACGGGCGGGGACAGGAGTCTTGCGTCTCGCCCTGCTCGTGTTCCCCCCCCAAAATGAGGAGTCTTTGATGCTCAAAGAAAGCCGCGCCAGCGGAATCATTGCCTCGCTGCCTGAAGCAGAGCCTTGAGGCAAAGAGTATTAAATAGTCGCAGCAAGTCGTAGAACCTTTGACGACTCAGGAAGCCTCGGTGCTGTGCGAGCTCCTGACCGGGCTGCGCGAGGAGGCCTTGCGCTTGCTGCAGGCGCCCGCTCGCCAGCGTTTCCGAGCCTTGGGCTTCATAAGGATAACCTTGCGTGTGCAGGAGAGCTCCTGCAAGGATCAGCTCCTTGCGGATGCCAGTTTCAAGATGCAGTTGCTGGGCATGAGCCTCGTGCAGAAGGACATGCAGCTGGGCTTGAGCTCCTTTTCTCAGTTTGAGAGACCGCAGCAGGCTCCATAAGGCTCCAAAGCATCCGCTGACTTCGCGATTTAAAGAGCTCAGTGTCAGTCTCTCAGGTTATCCCAACGCCTGCACAGATCCTGCTGAATGATGGAATCCGCGTCTCGGAGCATTCTGCCGTGCTTGTCGGGAGTATGGCAGCTCCGATGTCTGCAAGCCCAGCGCTTCCTTCCGCAAATGTTCGAGCCACCATGAAGTCTTGGAGAGATCTCACAAGTCTCACGACTTACAGTGATTTTAAGTTGTAGCCCCAAATGTGTTTCATGAAAGATGGCACATGGCGATGCTTTTCGATTGCACAAATAGATACGTTTGCGAGAGTTTCACCTGCAGCCCGTCGGGGACGTAGCGTCTTAGTGAAGGAAAACTGGGAGGGCAGGGGTCTGAGGTGCAGGTCGAAGAGATGGGCTGGACGGTTCATACGAGCATAGATTGGCATGCGCAGGTGGCCCTTGGCCAGGACCAAGTGGAACGCCTCCAACGTGAAATCCAGGCGCTGCCATCATGACCTGTGTCGCGTCAGTCGCCGCATAGGCCTACCTCTGCCTGGAAAGGTGTATTCAGCCTAAGCGCAGTGGTTAGCATGCCTTTGCCACTCCCGGAGGCGTTCCTTCCAAGTCAGCAGCAGATGCAGCAAGAAGCACGACAGGTGCCTGTTTGATGGAAGGTTTCAAACTGCGTTTCTCGGTGTGGTGACGGTGTAGCAAGCTACACAGGTCGTGCATCCGCTCACTATCCCTTGCAGGCCCAGCAGGAGTCGGACAAAGCGAGGTCGCTGGCGCAAAGACGCCGTGAGGCCGGCTGTGATCATGTTCATGATGTCGAGTGTAATGTCACTAATGTGTCCGATCGGCTGGCGCAATGCCGTCTCAGGATCAGAGTAGACTTCCCGGACACTCGACTCCCTCACACCCGATTTTTGTGCAGGCTGTGTCCAAGCTTGAGGAGGAGGCGGTCTGCAAAGTGTGGAATCCGACACGGGAACAAAGTTCCTCTAGGACAGGAAAACTAATGATCACAGAAATTCTCCAAACACTTACGGCTACGAATTTACTGTAAGCTGTTGCTGGCGCTCTACTTTGTTCTTGCATGCTTATGCGTTTTAGTGCTCGAGTTCCCGGCCTGACCTTGTTTCGGGACACTTCCTTCACCGGTATGATCCGATGATCTTTGCACTGGCAGCACATGCATGAAGCCTGCTTGAAAGTTATGCAGTAAGCTTTGTCAGGCGCAACAAGTCGAGCGAAGTGCGCAGCTCAGTAAAGACCACCGTTACACGTAGCCAAAGAACTCTCTCTGTCTCTCTCTTGTACTGTTTATTAGAGGTCTGACAAGAACAGAGTCTGTTCGCCAAACATGTCAGTCACAAGGTCTTTGTGAAGGTACCAGCCTTTCTTGGCCTTTTAGATATCGAGAGGTCTCAATGGGCATGGGATTCAGGAGGGATCCTCTGCGCTGCTGACAAAAAACATCGAAGAGGCATTACTGGCCTTTCCTCTTCGCGTAGTAAGCTGATTGCAGAAGCCTCGCTGATCGCACGAACTCGCAAGCAACAGCCGCGGTGTCGGAAAAGAGGTTGCAAATCGAGCCGAGCGCTCCGCCTGTCCATCCTTAATGAGGACGGCGTAAGAGCTCCCGATGGCAGAGATCGAGTGGACTGGATAGATACGAAGTTTCCCGATTTCATCGAAAAAATTTTCAGCACTGGTGTATACCGCAACGGCTATACCACACGGAAAACCGCATCGGCTGAGAAGGCTGCAGATGCCATTCAGGAACAGTGGTTCTTCGTCTAAGGAGTGTCGCTCGTGGTTACTTCGTCCTTCATGGCATGAGAACAGGTTGAGCATGAGACCTTCCTGTCTGTGTCTTGTAAAGGAACATGCATGGGGTAAGGGAGCCGTGGCCATGAGTGCTATGAACTGCTGCATATACCGCCGCCATGAGGGCCCTTCATACGCGTAGTTGCGCTGGTAAAAAAGGGAAAGCTTCGCAGATTTCTTCAGCTTTTGGTTCTTGCGGAAGCAAGTGTGTTGCCTACGTGGACAAGCACTGAACATGTTCTATGTTTCATAAATATCTGGAAGCTGGAGTTTTATTTGGGCTGCTTAGTGTCGATTCTCATGTGTTGCGTGGGACGTTGGGTGACCTAGATAAATCGAATCCAATGATGATGAACGGTCTGTGAATATGTTTGTATCTCTTGGTCATTCTTGGTCAATCAGTCCGTCGAGGTCTGTCTGTCGCCTGTCTGTCATTGAACAGTCGTCCTTCTTTCTCTGATCCGGTAGAGTGAGTTGCTGCTACAGGCCGTCAAGTGTCAAAGCTTGAACCGCCGACTCAAGGCGCAGAAGAGGAGCAGGCGACCATGAACTCAAGGCCGTCCTCAATCGTTACATCAGGATCTTGCCGAGGGCAGAAAGAATAGATTGCTTGCAGAGGCTTGTCGCAACAGTTTCCTTTTTCAACAGATTGCGAGAGGCTAGAACAGATGCGGACCGATCTGAACGAGACTTTGGCCTCTCGGCACATCGGGGTATGGAGGGGTTCTGCTTAGCAGTTCGACTGCACCAGCGATGTCGTGAAGTATCTGCTTTTTGTCGCCACTTCGAGGCCAGCACTACAGAGTTAGGCGCGGAACTGGCATCAGCTCCGTTCACGTGGCAGTTTAGGTTGCTTGTGCTCCCATCGCTTCACCCCAGTTTCCGAGCTTTGCTGCATCGCCTCGTGCTCGCTGCCGTTTGGAGTCCCAAACCATGCAAGGGGGAATGACTGCGCAACTACGTTCCTGGCTAGCGTCGCAGCGAGCTCCCTGAGCAACTGCCCGCACGAAACAATCTTCCACCAAAGCTCGTGGCATGGCCAGAGGAATGCACATATGCCGTAGTCACATCCAGCAAACCCGACGAGCCATGACATATGAACGAATGTTGAGGGTGCTATGAACAAAGAGCAATGGGAATTCCTCCTCGGAGACTGGCAAGATTGTCGAGAGAGCCTCCCGTCAAGCATTGAGACGAAGAGCGTGACACGCTGCTCGCAACATTTTTAGCAAGCAGGGTATATATATGCTCTCGGGTTCCCCCGCCCCCACCCACGCACCCCTATGGTACCCCAGCCCCTGCTGCTGGTGCGGCTTGGGTTGCCCGCCCCTGCGGATGGGCGGTGCCGGCCTTCCCCCCCCACCCCCTAAGGAACCCCACCCCTGCCCTCTGCGGAAGGCGGCAATCTGCGCAGTAGTGTCCCGCATCAGGCATGAATTGCAATGCTTAATTATGGGGGTTGTATGGCGATGGTGATGGTGGCAGCTATTTTTTTAAGATGGTACTGAAGATGCAGATGTCGACGACAATGATGATGTTGAGCATGATGTCAAAGATGATGTTGTTTACTCGCGTCGCCGTCTAGAGCAGCATAACATCATGAGCAGTACCACCGGTGCCACAGCAAGAAGGAATATACGGAGTAACACATAAGAACTTCAAGAACGGCGGATGCGGGCCCAAAGAACATAGCAGCTGCAATTGTAGACAAGAATGGTGGTGGTGAGGATCGGAACAAGTGCTCTTAAAGTAAGTTCCAGGCAACAGTAGTTGAGTCACTAATCCTGACAACAGATCCTTGTGTTACCAAAGCCTCAGCTAAGCGGGGTGCAGAGCCCACCACAACAACGAAACCACAGGGGCGGGGTGAGATGCGGGGGAGAAGGGTACTTCTCTGCCACGCTTGGCTGCTTTCATCCCCACGTGCCAGAAGTTCCCGGAAGTCACTGGATTTGATCGGCTGTCCGCCAGAGGCGAACTCGGGCTCCACGTTTCAGGCCCCAGCACGAAAGATCCGTAGGAGAAACTCACACGAGAAATTCGGGTTGGCAGACAGGGTTCCAGAAAGCGGAGCACCCGTCCTGCCAAGCTGCCGCCGGCCCAGTCATTGAGTTCATTACGAGCAATCAAGCTGCTGTTCATGCTCGCCTACTCGTGCTGATTTCATGCTTTACCAGTCCATCTTGATCTTGTGTTTTCGGCGGGGCGAGTTTTCTCGCCAAGCTGATGCATATGAGGCGCACCTTACGGCCAAGTATTGATTGTATTAGTTTGAAATTGTACCAGTGATGTGATGATTCGACACACCCCTTTCTGCAAGGTAGTTTGACGGGGTGTGCATGTCGAAATGAACCGAACGTCGAACTGAAGCCCCGAACTTGTTCCGCCCTCTGGTTCTGTCGGTCGTTGCTCGTTCTCTGCACACATACATCGGAATAGTTCAGGACAGTTTTATTGTGTCATGCATTCTTGTCGAAACTCCCATGCTCAGAACCTACGGCAGCCGTGGCAGCGGCACACTTGCTCCCAAATTACTTGCTGCTTAGGTGGCAAAAGCTATGCCGTCAGCTGGGCATCAAGCAACTCCGAGTGCTTGACTGTGAAGACGATCACGAAAGGCGGCCGTAACTTCACAGCTACTTGTTTCGTTCAGAAACGTCATGGTCAAGCATTTCCATCGGGTATGTGTGGCAGTTCCCGACCGATCCTCCTACGTTTGCCAACACAGGTCCGCGCGACCTTCGACAAGAACCACGATTGCCTGCACTGGCCAAGCAAGAATGGGGGCTTCACGTTGAGCTTGGCTGACTGTGGCGATACAGTGAGGCAGTTATACGGTATGTTCAAACACACTACAACAGTCACTGCTTGTGCAGTGCTTCGAGCGGAGGTGGCGTTACAAGTCCACCCACGAGCCAGCCAACGAGTGGATGCGTGTCCAGGACGGACGGGGTCTGTGTGCATGTGTCAGATCAGGCAGCGAATATTTGCTCTCTTTCTCTCTTGGTGCCTGTCTGAGGTGGTGCAAATTTCTTCAGAAAGGACTTGTGCTTTTGGCCGGCTTGGGATGAGGAGGTCGGAGAACGAGCTCAGCTTCGGCGTAAGCGACCGCTCGAAGAGGAGCCAGGCAGGCCAGGAAGAGCAAGTCGTGAAGCAAAGGCAATCAAAGGCACATGTGGCACTCAGGCGACCCTGACACTCTCTGCAAAGTGCTTCCTCCGGGCCTGGACCTGGAGTCATTGGAGCTCGACAAAAGTCATGTCTTCTTCCAGCTACTTGGCGAAGGGATTCGATTGTGTTACAACTAGAAGGTTGTTTGATTGTATGATGCAGAGAGATCTCTTTTGAGTGAGAAAAGTAGCTGAAAGAGTATCTTCACCGTTGGCTACTTTGACGGGAAACTTCTTCGCATGACGCGGACTTTTTCGGATAAGCCAGCCGTCTGTGCTGCAGAGAACAGTGCTCTGTCTGTGGCAGAGTTGAAACAGACTTGCAAGGTTGTATTCAAGTTTGGACAGGTGGAGCGCCTCACGGGAGAAGTGTGCTTTCGGTGGCAACTGAGCACTGAGGATCGTGACCTGCGGCAAAGATCGCTACATGAGCCATCACATGCAGGAGCAGGCCAGACGGTGGTGTCTTTCTGGGCCGATCCCCTTGTTTCGGGATGTACAAAGGTCCGCGGTGAAGCTTGACGAGCCCCGAGTCTCAGGCCATTGTCTTCGACGTCAGGAATTTCAAGGATCCTGCGGCCGGCAATCTGAAGCACCACGACGGACGCCACGATGAGATTATCGATCGGATCCGGTGCCTTTCTCAGGCAGTTAATGGCATCTGGATCTGACATGTGCTGACAGAGAGCTCGTGAGGCGGCATAGCGCCTTCCCGGCCTTGGTGGCCTCCCTGCGCACCCGGATTGCCCAGGAGTTGCAGCTGTCAGGCCACCTGCTGGTCCTCAGTGCAGTGCAAAGTTATGTGGAGCTTCGGAAGTTCAAAATTGTGTCAGTGGTTCCGTCTTCTTGCGCAGGATCGACCTCCATCAAGGTTGTGTTTTACTGCAAGTCTGGACGCCACCGCTCGGTGGCCTTTGGAACCATGTTCAAGTACATCCTCCTCTACGAGGACTTCCGAAACTTGCAGAATAACCAACTCTTTTGCTTGAGAGGTCACTGGATGCATGCCTTAGGTGCTTAGCATTCACGTTAAGTCCCATCCGCCTGTAAGAAGCTATGCAGGCATGCTCGCATATGGTGCATAGTGAAGAATCGCTTGTAGTGATCTGAGGCAACGTGCAGCTCGAACATGAGGGCAACTATGATGGTTTTGTGTGCTGCGGCTGTGACAGGTGGGATCACACATGGAAGTTCGTTCGAGGGACAGAAACCATGTTTTTTTGTCCGATTTGCTCGTCTGAGGTGCACTAGCAAGACTGCATTGCGTCTAAAAGCCTGTGAAGATGTCCTTCGCGACTGGAAGCGGATGAGCTCAGTGGCAGCATTATTGCCTCGCCCGCATTTGTCGAGTCATAGTTTCGCGCTTTGACTGCAGTGAACTCTTTGCAGATTCAGGACGCAGTCCATCTGCCTGAGGGCGACGCTCTTCCGTCTTGATTTGCATGGCGTGCTTGCCATGGAAATCTGCGCGCGGCTGTGTCAGTTGCACTCATGTGCGACATGTCGTGCAACTGATGTGCAAAATACGTCCATGTTCCTGCCGATGCATGTAGAACGTGAATTTCACCGGACTTCGAAGCTAATTTGCTTTCTCAAGAGTTGCAGTGGCTGTTGTTGGTCTCGCAGGTGAGCAGGCTCGGAAGGCACAATCAAGTCACAACAGGCAGATGAAGGCTACTTGGCTCAAGACTGTGACTTCGTGTTTTCCAAGTGTCTCTGTGTGGAATTGGCCGTGTTGTTGTTCCGTTTTGGTTTGTTTGGCTTGGGTTGCACATGAATCTGTGAGAAGCGCTTGTTTGGTTGGGTTGGTCTGCGGTTGCTTCAGGCTGTAAGAGGCAGCATGGTGGCTAGGAGAGGTGGCGAACACTTCAGGAGATTGCAGTGGTTGTAGCATAGTCCGGACCTAGATTCTGTTGGTGCAGGCTGTGAAGACCGATGGAAGCGCTCTCAGGGACGCGTGGCTTGCTGAGCTTCACGTCGCTACATGACTTCGGCTGTTGATTCACGGGTTACGGAAAACTCCCTCTCGGAGATGCGGGACTTCTTGTCGCATTTATCGGGCCTCCAGGATTTGGCCACCTGTAGTTGCCCTGATCTTTTGTGCCTATCAACTCGAAAATCCATCAAGCTTCTGGTCCAAAAAATCTGAAGCAAGGTCCCCTACGATGGGTCCGTCTATGGTTCGAAAGCCCCCAAAACTGCAAGTGCATCAGCTGTGCTGCAGGTGTTTGCTTGCGGCTTCGCAATTGAGAAGATTGCAAGTGGAGCTCATAGGTAAGTTACGTCAGCTACAGTCGGTTTGCAAGCCCTACCTCTTGTCTTTCCGCTCGTACTCGCATCCGAGCTTGAGCTGTCATGCTCAAGCCTGGCATGTTCAGGTTGGCGGACATTGGTCAGGAAAAGGAAGACATGGAAGAGCGGGCCTCAGCCGCAGGAAGCGTCTCATCTTCAGTTCTCTTCAAGATCTCGCAAGGTGGAGCTGTCGCGACTGAGAGACACCGTGGGAGGCCTGCGCCCCTGTATCCGCAGATGGCTCTTCCGCCATCCTCCGCCCTCCGCCGCTCGGAGGTGCTGCGGCCGAGGACCGAGGGCGACGAGAGCGCCTCGCCGAAGCTGAGGCCAGCCGCCAGGCCCAGCGGATCCAGCGCAGCCAAAACACAGCGACAGCAAACGCATGGTTTCTGCATTTTCGGGGTTCATCTTGCGATTCACTTCAAGCTGCAACCGGTGTGGGGGTCATCGTGTCAACGTCAGGACAACTCCCGCGAAAGGGCTAGAAAACTTTACGATCTCCACAAGGTGTTGAACAGTTCGAGTCAACTATCAGTCGTTGTTGCTTCCGCAGCAGCCATGCCGAGTCTCAGAGGCAGGAGCTAGCCAAGCACGAACACAGAGAAATCATTGCAAGCTTGCTTCGCAAAATGGCGACTGGCCACAGCAATGGCTTTGAGGAGCCGGTGAAGCTAGACCTGCCAGCAGATGACTGGAAATCCGTGGCTCTACTTTCAGGCAGGGAGGCAGAGATCCCGGCTGTCGTGCGAACGCACGGCTTTGCTTGCTGCATCGCTGTGTTGCAGGGGCTTGGGCCGCGGCTTTTGCGGTTTTCGCATCCAATGTGGCGACGCTCACCCTGGCCGTCGCGGAGACAGCACCGGCTGTGGAGCTGGAGACACTGCCTCTGGGCCTTGCCCTCGTCATGCAAGGACCGATTCCCAAACCTACGTTAGGCCCAAAGTAGCTGCCAGCCACATCTCCGAAAACTCGTAAGAGGTTTCAGATGAAAGAGAACTCAATGAGAGTTGGGGAGCTTGGAGCCTAGCGAGGCATCGGAACCATGGCACTTCCGACGAAAGTGCGCTACCTCGGGCGCAAGTATATGCAACTCGGACGCGCATCGTATGTCTCTAGCTTGGGTTCCACGATGTAACGTCGCGTTAAGGTACCTCGCTGGCGCAGGAGTTGGTCTGCTTAGCTGCTTAGCGCTCGCACTGGGCTCATGGCTACTGGACTTCGGCCTGCAGTGCCTCGGTGCTTGCCTGCTAGGCAGGGCCGTCTGAGAGACATTAGCTTCGGCGCTTTGCATCTTCGCCCTGAGGGTATAGCTTCGCCCATGCGCAGAACTACCGCTTCGGCGCCATCCAGGCCATGCCCTCCAATCCACCACGTGCCATCAGCTCCGTTCTTTTCGGGGGTGTCGTCGGAGTGGCTTGGCCTTGGATGCTTCGGAGCAAGGTTGGGAGTTTGAGCTTCTGGCATTCCAAGCGCAGTGATTTTCCAAGGCACTCCTGGGCCCTGGGGCTATTTCTCAGGCGCGAGACTTGTTGCTCGCCTGCACGTGGAGAAACGAGGATCGGGAGCATCAACAGGTTCTTCAAGGCGCTTGCAGTCAGTGCAGATTCAGCAGCGTCTGGGTTACATTTGTAATTACTTCATGCAGCTGGTGAGCTTCACTCGACAGAGCAGCCTGCTGGAGCAAAAGGAGCATCCAGAGGCCTCTGCAAAACCTGGAAGATTCCTAAGTGCATCCCGAAGAAAAAAGGAAGCTGCGCTGCATGGGGCGTCGAGTTGTCACAGCTTGACCTTGCCGCCACAGTTCTGTTACGACCCAGGCTGCCCGTCCCTTTCATGGGCATCTACCTGCGCCTTCGTCCTTGTTGCGACTGTCTGGTCTTCGGAGCCGCATGGATTGTGTGTAAAGTTCATGACGGTGCAGTGGTCACGTCGACAATGCTTCGGGCATTTTGCAAAATGGCCCAGAAGATTCAGCCTGCGGCATCCTGCGGCCTTGCGGAGGTGCGGAGGCGTTCTCAATCTGCTGGCTGTACTGTTGCTGAGCTTCGTTGAGCTCCCGGGAGCGGCTGAGCCGAAGGGCAAGGCCCCAATTGAACAGCCGCGGCGCCTCTCGAAGAGCCAGAGCTTGACAATAACTTTACAGTAGTCAACAGACAATCTGACGTGAGATCTCTCTCTGTGCTTCCGACTGTGGCACCTCCTTGAGGATCTTGCTGCAGCCGCGGTGTGGTGCTGCCATCGTCACGCTGACTGCCTCCTACTGCATCATGCTTGTGCTTATGGCGCCTACTCCTGCTGTCATGCAGAACTTCTATTCTCATTCGTTCACGGCATCTACATTGACCATGATGGGACACATGTGCCGCAGCGATTCTCAGCAACTTTTGCTTCGTAAGCTTGTGTGAGCCAGCCGCAGGCTCAGCTTAGTTGGGCCATCAGCAGAATGGAAGCGGCATTGGCATTATGTCAGACAATGCCTAAAGGGCCTAAACCTGAAGACTTTCCGGTACCAGCAGCGGCCCGACTGGGAGACGAGGTTGAGCGCAGTCGAATCTGAGGTTTTGCATGTTCGCACCATCGCCACTGACTGGTATCGCCATGGCACGAGCGGGCTCCGCGCCAGTCATCGTGGCTGGACTCCTTTGTGCTGCCTTAACCGCCGTGGTGTGCCTGCGGTGGCAAGTTAGTACCATGTCGAGCACCGGTTCGGTGCAGACGATGCTGAATTGGCATGTGCTGCAAGCCCGAGTTCTGAAGCTGTTCATGGATCGCCGCAACAATGGGCTCGGCCCGCCACGTCCGGCATCAGGAACATGTAAAGCGTCTGAAAGCGTCTCGGAAGCTGTGCCGTGCTTAGGCTCTGCCTCGGCACCAGCCTCCCGTATTTTGTGGTCGGCATGGCGCTGCTGGGCTTTGCAGCTTTGCACACCAAAAATACAGAGATTCCGAGGGACAGAGAGATCGACCTGTCGATAGATGTCTTCAAGACTCGAGGCATCGATTCGCCAGTAGCCCCAGTCTGCAAGATTGCGCACGCAGGAATATGTGCCCTGTGCCTACACTTTGGTCCCTTCGAAGCCAGGCCTTGATTCGCACCTCCGCGCCACCCCCTCCCATGGGCCGCCCTCTTCCAACTTCCAAAACCATTGCTAGCTACTGCTATTCTGCTGTTTCTGCCGCTGTTGGCCCCATTGTATTTTTTTGACTACTCTTGCCAGTGGTACTGTTGCTGCCCCCGGAAGCTGAAATCTGCGATACTTATCTTCGTCTAGTTGATGAGCTTTGTCTTCGGAGGACTGGCAAGGCACCACTCTCAGTGCTGCCGCCGTTCTGTTGCTGCCGCTACTGCCGCTACTGCGACTGTTGCCGTTGCCGCGACTGCTGGTATTGCTGGCCGTCACTGGCAATGTGACTATCTTCACTTTAGTGATATTGTTTGACTTGAACACCTGCAGTTCTTCCGTTACCTTGACTCAGGCATGGAACTTTATGTACATTGGAGGTTCGGCGCTGCTTACAAAGTCCTACTCCCCTTCGGAGGGGCCGAAGCTGCAGGCAGTGACAGCAGCTGGGCGATGGAAGGGTGGAGTGTGGAGTATGGGATGCGTAGAATCAGTTATGGCATGTTATGGCAGTATCACGGCAGCAGTGCTCAGTTCCTAGAGAAGCCCGGAAGGAGATCCCAGGAGCCCTGACCGAATATCAAGCTTGTTGAAAGGGATGACAGCACGAGGACACTGCCGTCAACTTTGGGGCGGCCAGCTTCACACTCCTCTCCATGCCGATCGTGTCTAGCATCGGTTGCCTTGCGGCATCTTGGAGCCTGACTTTCCGGGGATTAGGAGTGCCTCTTCAGCAATCCGGGATGAGCAGAAGGTATTCGACAGTGCCAGGACAGGACGGTGCCGACAGAGCATGTTTGTGCACTCGTGGGGGTCCTGACGGTGCATAGTTTCAAGTTTTGGACCCATGCATCTCCGGCAAGGTTGGATTCCTACGCAGCTGTTGCACTTGGCAATGACTGGAGCAACTGCACCCTGTCTCTCACAACCAGCGATAGTCCCAGGCACGTGCCAAGAATGACGGCAGCTAGGGACCCTCAGGCGCTCCTCCTTGGCATCTGCTGGGCGCTGGACCGACGACAAGCTGCAACCTCCTGATTTGACCCCCTGCTGCTTTTCAATTCTGTATAGGTCACTCACTCATGCCAGCTGCCTTTATAGGCAAGCTCGCGACGAGTCATTCTTTGTGCTTCCGGCCTGAATTTACATGAATGGCCCGATTATCTGGCGGAGCTCCCGAAAAGATCTTCTGTGGCTATTGGGTTGGTGGATCGCGTTGTCATCATGTCAAAAGCAGCTTTCTTGTTCAGGTCAAGCCCAGAACTTTCGGGGGCTCTCAAAGCGGGTCGTCGTAGTCGAGCCGTGCAGCGATGCGTTTTTCTTCGGAGAAAGGTTTGTCGGATGGAACAAGCTTCTCCGATCGTGCCTGTCAAGGGACAGACATGTCTCCGTTGCGGACACGCTGCTGGGCTAAGTCTTTCAAAACGTCCACGACAGCGCGGAGCTTTAGGGCGGAATGCCCTCTCTTTCCTAGATCGAATCCGTACTGGCGGAGGCCTTGCTGCAGCAGGTGGCCTTGGAAGAGCAGTCGCTCAACCAAGCAAGCACCCCAGATCTTGCTCTTTGTGGTCGTTTGGTGACGTCGATTGTGCATTTGCTCCGAAACCGGCGCCGTGATGCTCAGATAAATTAAGGTGAGAAGTAGTTGTGCAGTGGCCTGAGCAAGCAGCAGTCTGTGAGCCATGGCTTTCCAGCGCCTCGTTGTGGCATCGTAACTTGGCATGCAAGTCGGCGTGCTTGTACTCTTGGGGTAGTGCTGGGCTGATCAACTCGTGTGTGTGAAGAAGCATCTGTGTCATAATATATGCCCTAATATGAAGTAACAATGGAGGAATATATTCATATTTTCATACGCACGAAGCTGACAATCTGCACAATAGGAGTGCATGTGTGTAAAACATACGCCAGAGGCAGTGTTTATAATTTATTCCTCATATGATATATTCATGATATATATATATGTATGGTATTTATTGATCGTATGTTTATAGCATGCAGAACGTGTTTGTCGCATGTTTCTATCATGCTGATAATATGCTTAAATTATGTTTTAAGTATGTTTCCAACATATTTCACACTTCTCAATGTACATTGAAAACATATGTATAAGGTACTTATAAACAAATAAATAAATAAATAAATATATATATGTAGATGTATATATATATAGGTATGTAGGTATATATGTATATATACACTACAATGTGTATATACATGTGTATAGACACACGGTAACATATAAACAAGTGCGTATGTATAACATATAAAACATATCGCATATATATATATGTATATGTTTCTGTATACATGTGCATGTATGAATACAAAAATAAACTTGTATGTGTGTATGTATGTATGTATGTATGTATGTGTATATGTATGTGTATATGTATGTGAGTATGTATGTCTGTATGTATGTATGTATGTATCTATGTATGTATCTATGTATGTATGTATGTATGTTCGT